CCCGGCACCCACAGTAGGTGGACTTTGTTGGTTCTCGCTATTGAGTTAAGAGCCAACTTGCAATCGAGTGTTAATCTTGAGATTAATCTCGGAGATCCTAGAGCTTTCAGAGCCGCTTGGCTGTCCGAACATATCGAGATGAGCCTGTTATTGTAGTCCCTTCTCTGAATTTCTTGTGCACAGACCAGGATGGCCTGTATTTCTGCTTAGAATACAGAGGCATGCTCCCCCAGACCGATACTCAGGTCGGCCCTGGGGCGCAGTCCATATATTCCCGCACCTGCTTTACCATCCATTTTGGACCCATCTGTGAACCAGACGTGCCCCTCGCGGTGAAGCAGACTCGGTCCCGGTCCTTCCCATTCTTCCCGAGATGGGAATTGAACAGAGAAGTGTTGGGTAAATTCGTAACAGGGTATCATGCTGTCCTGGACCATTGAGAGGACTGGACAGCTTTGGATAGCCTCGTTCCATATTAACGAATGTCCTGTGAGCCGCCCATGGTCCTGCCACTGTTTTGTACAGTTGAGTCGATAGGCGGCCCTCCTGGCTTCATTCTGAAGATGCAGGTGGGGTGGTGGTAGTCCCAACAGTACCTCAAGAGCCTCATTTGGGGCCGTCCTCATTGCCCCTGAAATACAAGTACATGCTAGGCGTTGTGTTTTGGCCAGCTGGGATCTGGCTGTTTTCAGCCTGGTCCTCGGCCACCACACGACTGCCGCGTATGATATCATCGGCCTTATCATCGCCGTATATATCCAATATAGGACTCTAGGCTGGAGTCCCCATTTTGCTCCGAAGGTTTTCCTGCATACCCAGAAGGCTGCTGTCGCCTTCCTGAGTTTGGAGTCCAGATGTTCTCTCCAGGTTAGCTTAGAATCTATGGTCACCCCTAGATATTTGACTGAGCTAGAAAGTTGTATAGGTTTCCCATAGAGTATCAGCTCTCTTGGTTGCCCAAGGTTTCTCTTCCTAGTGAAGCGGACCAAAGCAGTTTTCTCAGGATTCACACTGAGCCTCTGCTCCTGGCACCATTCCTCAACCAGTCCAAGGGCCCTTTGTGCCACGTCAAACACAGTCCCTGGGAAAGGCCCTTCAATAAACAGGACCACGTCGTCTGCGTAGGCCTGTGCGTATACCCCCTGCTGCGTTAGCAGGGTAAGTAGGCTGTCTACCACCAGACACCAAAGATGAGGAGAGAGCACCCCTCCCTGCGGGCACCCCCTGGTAGCGATTACTCTAACAGCACAACCATTTCGGTTTGCCGTGATTGTTCTCTGAGTGAGCATAGCTCGGATCCATCGGCTGATGGTCTCCTCAATGCCATGTCTCTCCGCAGCGTTGCACATTGAGTTGAAATTCGCGTCATCGAAAGCCCCCTCGATGTCCATAAAGATACCTAGGCCAGTTTGTTTGTGATTTAGCACCTGCTCCACTCTACCAACGAGGTGATGAAGGGCCGTCTCGGTAGACTTCCCAGCCTGGTATGCGTATTGTCGTGACTGAAGTTGACTCTATTCTGAAATTTCTCAGCTGATTCCATGAATTGCTCACTACAATGTCCCATTGTCCGCTATAACCAATCGAGGAACTTCAAACCTCAGGAACACATCTTTGAGCTTGCGTACAACGGCTTCAGTAGTGGCCTTTCTGAGTGGAAATATCAAAGAGGACTTGAGATCATCAGTAACGACAAGTATGTAACTATTTCAATTTTTAGACTTAGGAAGCGACCCTACCAAGTCTGTGGATATAATTTCCCATGGTCTTTCCACCTCCAGGGCGTGACACCATCTAGTCTGTTGGTTGTTCCTGGGACACATTGCAAGATAATGTATCAGAGGTATCACATTCTCCTACCCTGAGCGATGAATCGAATTGAAATTGTATTGCTGAAGACGAATGGCCCAACGAGCTAGCCGACCAGTCAGATCCTTCAAACTTTTTTTTTACAGAAGGCTATGACAGTCTGTATACAGCGTGAATAGGACTCCTTCAAGATAAGGCCTGAATTTCTCTACAGTCCATATAACTGCCAGACACTCTCGTTCAGTAGCGGACCAATACCATTACCAGAAACATCAGTTTGGACCACGAAAGTACCAGCATAATCAAGACAACTTAGTATAGGCGCCGAAACCAAGCAATCTTTGATACGGCGAAAAGCAACATCACACTCTGACAACCAGTGGAATTTCGTAATTTTCCGAAGGAGAGCTGTAATGGAGTAAATTATTGCGGAGAAATCAGGGATGCAACGTCTATACCCAGAACAAGTACCAACGATACGACGCACCTCCGTGACACTAGTAGGTATAGGTAACTCTAACATGGCCGAATCCGAATCTACATGGTGACCATTCCTATCTATAACATACCCTAGATGTTTCATCTCTGTTCTACAAAATTGGCACTTGTCGGTACTTATCGTGATGTTAGCCTCTCCTAACCTTCCACTATTAACGTGGATTCATGTAACTATAATACTAACGTCAGACTCACAGATCGCACATCTGTTTTGATTGAGAAAAGAACGAAAACTATGCAAAACTAAATCAGTCTTGGCGAAAATATATAGACATTGAATGGTAATATCGACGTGAAGTTTGCGAAGGTATTCTTGTACTTTTTCGTAACCCATTTCAAGCACTTTGTAATCCCATATTCAAGTTCAATGATCTGCAATAAACATAAATAGATCAAGAATATTCACCTCAGCAAATTACCATGGACACTAAACGTACGGAGTGAAAGTCCGCATAAGCGAACACGCAGCAACCTGCTCTGTTCACTTCTCAACACTATTTTCGTGATCCCAACGGCAACAGCTACCTAGCCGTACAGCTGCCTACTCGGAATCGTTCGTCAAATACCGATTGATTTTTGGCGGTGTAGACTCAAAGTTCGCACGTTAGAAACGAGAAACTCCGCCTGAAACTTATTTATGGTCTTCATAGGTTCAATGTCAATGAATGTCAAAAAAAATTCCACTACTACAAAATATCGTTGTCCAAGAAGAATTTCCGAATAATCTCGCCAAATACCACAAGTTATTCACGATGAATGATATAACACAAAATGAAGATGGTCATTAAATAATCTCAAAAAATGCCGCACAGACTCGATTCGTATAAGTGAAACCAGTCATTATCATATATCAAATATTTTACATATAATCCTCCAAAATACCATGCACAACAACTTCAATTACAATAACTGATATAATTCATACTAAAATGTAATCAAGGTAGTATATCAAACTATGCGGACAAATACCAAGAATAAATCGAATATACAGGAGGCAAAAGTATCCTTGACTTCAAAAAGTTGTTTCCAGAATTATAAAAATGCAAAAAGAACTATATCCACGTTGGTGCGCCAACGCTCCTAAAAAAGTCGCATATTTACCGGCTCTTAGATGACAGACGGGTAGTTTGCTGCTCGCTAAAGTGGAGATGGGGGGGGGTTCGATTAGAAGAAAATAAATCGTAAATAAGCCTAGCCCTAGCCTACATCCTTAGTTTTTTAGTTACTTATCAACTCACCAAATCAACCAAATTGAGTTGATAACAATGACAGAAATAATTCGGTGTAATTATAACAACTTCAGTTCTATCTCAGTTGAAAAAACACAATAAAACATACATTTTCAACTCTCAATATATAAATATGAATTCGTGTTTAGAGCTGTTCACAGAGTAGAACCTATGAACTGGGGAATGTGTTGGCTTACCAAGCCTCATGCATAAGCTGGTATACCCAAATATGTAAATGAGGTGTGTGGAATCTGAAGTGAAAACTGTGTGTCGAGTAATGAGCTATGGATTGATTATATGACGTATGATAATGTTTGAAATTTAAATATAAGTTTCTGGTGAAAACTTGAGTGTAGTCCCACGATGAATTCTTGCGAGCCTATACAAGTCAAATGTCAGACTGCTTGTAGTGCTGATGATGTCTGTGACTAGGAATCATCGGCCTCCAGATTTTAGCATCAAGCACGACGTGAAATATGAGGATACACATACCAGATCGAAAAACCATGTGGAGGAATAAGCCAAATTACACGCTATTCCTCACTTGTTCAACAATATTTCTGTACCCAAGATGTCGTGAAAAAACTGTTAAACTCCCCATTGAATTTAGATTGAACTATGAAATTATCAGAGACTGATCTAGAATCTGAAGCAGAACTTTCAGAATCCTTTCGTTCACTTCTTATCAGTTCACCCTGAATACCTATACCAACTCAAATACTCCCAACATTTCAAATATATGACTTTATCATGCTTAATGAATTCAATAAAGGACGACTAGCAATATTGTCCTCAAAACTTCAGGTGAATTCACTCTGTATAGAGTATTGTATTTAGTTAAGATTTCATTCTACTTTGGGCATTTTAGCCACTCCTTAGTTCAAATCACGCCAGTGGGGTAAGGCCACTCCCATTCCTCGCCGAGATAGGAATTACAGTTTTGTTGGAGTGGTTCATTTCCTTCTACTCTAGATGGCGTAACACCTGTATTGCCTATGGGAGATGCATCTGCGGGTATAAAATGCTGATCAGATTTTTGTTGTGCCAAATTACGCTCAGCTGGTGGACTAAGGACTGCTAGCTGGAGACTACCCTAAACAGATATGAGGGCCAAAATCCTGAAACCGGTATGTAGGTGTCGAGCGTTGCCCTGGCTTAATCGAAATCAATCGGTTTCAAAGAAACGCACCATTGCATCAGTATTCATTCACACGAATCGATGCATAGATTTCGGAAGGATATAGCTCAATCATCTGAGTTGAATTCGCCATGAAAGTAGTAGTTTTGTTTTCGTCATCTACCATTGTCGTTAATTTCATGAACATTTGTGGAAATTACTTTGAGTTCTGTATTCATCTTACTCTGTATAATAGCTCACTTCTCGCCCTAGGCCCAAAATATACTATTGAAATAAATGTTATTGCATTTGGTGAGTCATCTATTCCATAATATTTTCATTTATAGAATACTGGGACTCCTTTACAAGGAATGAAGAGAGTACAACTGAACACAGCAATGATGCCTATAAAGTATATCCCAGCTACCAGCAATCTATCGAAAGTGATCATGCCGATGCTATGGCTAGAAGAGGTAAAATAGTTAATTCATTCGTATCGAGAAAATATATTGATTCATTGTCAAATTTTTCAGGGAGTGAGCTTGCCACAAAATTTGATCGATGAACTGAGCAGTAAATATTTTAATGTTGTGAAAATAGTCACAGGAGTTATGTATGGTCTGATAGCGGTAGCAGCTGCATCTGTGCTAATTTCCAGTGGATTTCTCATGAGGAAAAACTACTGCTAGTTTCAGAAGCAGTGAATAGAATTCGGTGATCCCATACTTAAACGAAGAAAGGCCACTTCTTTCCCACTTGACACTTTATTGATGTGCATTATTCAAGATAGTATTATATCACTAATTCAAAGTAGTTAAGTATTTTTCTCATCTTTTGGTTATAGACGTAGACATAGACATACTCCATTCAACAATGGTAACGTATAAATATTTTGCAGCAAGTCAGATTAGAAAAGTCGATAACGAACCATATTCAATTTCAATTAATGTATTCAATTAAATATTGTATTTGTCGCATGATTTCTTTGGTGAAAATGAATTTCCGATCCGCATTCGATATATTCTTCATAATATCTTTCTATCCTCTCTTCCTATAATGTTCGAAGGACATTAGGCGTTTCTAAGGAGGAGAGGAAGAGGAGGTAGCTGTTGGAATTTTTATTAACTTCTGGACGTTATAAGTTCTTGGGAATAATCCCAGAGCTTCGTCATATTATTGACGAACAAGTTTTGGTGAAGTTCTAACAGGGCCTGTCGATTTCATCTGAGTGGTATCGCTATAGTGATGGAATGATAGCTGAGATTTATGAGAAGCATTTCCCGTGGAAGTATCTATATAAAAGTGAAAGGTCACCAGCTTTCCTACGGTGTTGAAATGAAGTATCAGTAAGTGTGGCATCACCCACCAGGCGGGTGGCTATTGTCTGGATGGAATTCAAGAGCATATCAGCGTTTGTTTGAATGCTGAATCCTATATGTGAGAACAGTATTCTTATCTACCTGACAGTTACTGATCAGCAACCGATGCTCTCTTTTCTCCTGTTCCCATGTGTCAGTATTATCATGTACATCTAGTAATTGTTATTATATACAGAATGTGAAAATCATGTAACACCAATGAAAGATAATGAACAGATAACATAAATATTGAAAATCATTCCTGAATCTGGTATAATTCACAAGGTATGGAATAGGGTAGTCGAACTAAGAATCATTATCATAAGATGAAAAAAATCAGTTTCCCATCCTATTGATTTCAACTGATTAGTATGTTTCTTCCATGAACTACTTCCATCGTGTTTCAGCTTATAATGTATTTTTTTAAGCTCACACCCTAATTTTCCGAATCTCCAGTTGTAGCTTGTATCCTCCTTTATGATTCCTACCAGCATCTATTTTTTTCTTATCTGAGGATTCGTATTTTTTTCTTCTTATAACGTTGTCTGATTCTTCTGTTGATCAATAAGTCCTGATGAGAAGACGTCTTTAATACTTAGACGCATATTTCTATATTGCATCAACAATTGTTTTGATGCAGTATAAATATCCGTATTGCAATTATATCTCGAAGTATTAACGATTTCTTGATTTTTTTCACGAAGTGAGAGTGATAAATCCGTTGTCTGAAACAAGATCCTTCCGTATGTGTCATTAATTAATATTCGGAGGAGAATAAATCTTCACTTCACGATAACGTTTATATTGCTATCTTTTCATTCATCTTTCTGTCCCTGTTGTAGTCGTCGTCCACATATTCTCACAGCAATGCCACTAATATAATTGGAAAAAAAAAAATGTGTGGTGTAGCGGTCGATGCTGATGCAGCCAATCCTGATATCACAATTTGCTCTCGGATTTTCAGCGAAAACCGGTAACAAAAGTAATAAGTAATAAGAGTGTTGAAGACGACAAAATGATGAAAACATGAGAATTTGCGGAAAAAACATTCAAACGACAGCCGCTTATTGCCTGGTAACTTGTCGACATTTTTTTGGTGAAAATGAACTTAAGGCACGCTTGATACATACCTATACATCAAAATCGTAGAGAAATGGTCAAGACATGATTCTTGCATTCAGAGGAGAAGAAATACCCTAAAAGCAATAATTGTTGATAATCCTAATCAACTGCATTCGTTAATGACCCCACGTTGTCATCAAGAAAATGCATGGTCAAACCGATTTGGATACGGTTCATATGAAAAAGCTTTCTGATCTATGAATTATCAAGACACCCTCCAAGCAAACAGATAGCTACATCACGTGGCACTTATAACCATTTCCTGGTCTGATTACTCTTATCATCTGACATAATATCGGCAGATACAGACTTTTTAAATACCTGACTGGTGTCGAAAGAATTTGAATTCTTATTCTGAAAATGGAGCATCTGTATACAGTCTGTCCAAGATAAGGTTGAACAGCATGGGGATCTCGAAAACGGTAAGAAATACGAAATCGGTTAAATGGGGAAAAAGTTGCGCATTCGGAGGCTCATATCAAGAGCCTTCGAAAATTTTGAAAATTATTTTTAGTTTTTGAGTTATATCGAAAAAAGTGAATTTTTGGAATTTCTATGTATGTATGTATGATTCAGGTATCGCATAAAATATTATCATCACGAATTATCAACTTCCTCACCTCACCAAGTTTTACAGGATTCCAATCATTCGATGGATATGGATATCAGGACGGGTGCAGTTTCATGGAAACTTGAACATCTTGTGTATAATATATAGTCTGATACAAGAAATGTAATTATTATGAATCGATGTTGATATTGTAGTATACAACAAAATGTCCAAAAATGAATTGATTCCAACCGCCCACTATTTCGGAAATAATTGGAACATTTGCTATTTTTGGACCGTGAGTACGTGCAGATATCATTGAACTCTATAGTGGATTTTCATCGGCCACATGGACGAACAGAACGTAGTTGATTTGATTTTGGTATTCAAAAAGGAAACTTCATATAATAGTCATTTGAAATTTTGAAAAAGTCAACTTCAGCACCCTGTATAATACAAACTATTAAATTTAGAGCGTTGATAATTGGGACATCTGATCAGCATCACGAGTTCTACGATATATCCAAAATTCGAGAAAATTCACCGAAAGCCAATTTCCCCCCTATTGCGGGCATATTTAATCACCACAATGAACATATTTGTTCCGTAGAGAATCCATGTGAACATCAAGAACGACGACCACAAGTACACTTCAGCGTAAATGTATGGGTCGCTTCATTGGACGACACAATAATTGGCCCATACATTTATGAAGAAAATTTGAATTCTGATCGAACATCGACTTCCGACTGAATCGGCTGAATACGGTGTGGTTCCAGCAAGACGGCGCATCGCCTCAAAACCCAAGAAGGGTTGCCGATTGTTTGTCAGAAATGTTTCCCGGCAAGGTGATATCGAACAACGGAGACATACGTTGCGCCAGTGCGGTCACCTGATCTCTCTCCACTGGATCAGTATGCACGAAGAACTTCAAACGATTTTATTCTTAAAACTGTACCCATCGATATTGATGAGCTGAGAAGAACCAAAATCACCACTTGCAGTCGCGAACAGAATCTGAGTAAATGCGTAGAATTGTGTTTAGTTAGAAGTGGAAGAGGCATCTTTTATAACTTTGTTCTGTTCTGTTTTGTGAAGGATGAACTTCTAGCTCATCATGTGGAGGCCTTTATGCAGAAACGGGCCAACCAACGAAATATGGAAAATGACATTATTATACTAGTCAATTCTGAAAGTTCAAAGTTAAATTATGCAGAAAAGGTCCAAGCCGAAATATCTATATTGCGCATGTCATAAAATGAAAGTTCAAACCTAAATTGAAAAGTCGGTTCTCATCAATTTACAGAAAAGGATCAAACATCATGGCTATATACATTCTGCATATTATTATTCGTTTGCATCACCTTTTTGCAGGAACTAAAGCAAGAACAAACCAACCCACAAGAAAATTAAGTTGGTGTCTCTGTGTAGTGGCCTGCTGGTGGCTGTCTATTTGCTGTCTATAATATATTTTTCAATGTCAAATCCATTGTCTGCTAAATAGAGAAAAAATCTAGTGAGCTGGAATTTCTGGTCTTCCCAATAGCTCAGTTGAGTGTAGGACCGCTAGAGGATGTTACCGTATCGTACGATATGATCGTCACTTTTTTCTAGAAAAATTTCGAAATTTGTGGTTATGTAAGTTGTCACTGGTTGTCAGTGTCAAGAGCTGTCATGCCATCGTGACTTAATTTGATTTTTTTTCTAAAATATCATTCTTTTTCAATTCTCATTGTTCTAATATTCCTTTCGTTTATAGATATAGTTTTGTGTTGTGCTCCCAGTATTATAATAGTTTATTCTGATCAATGTGTAACAAACTCTGTCTCCTCCTATTGTGCCTACCAGAAATTGTGAAACCATCTCCATTCCTGGATTTCCAAGTGATATTTCTTTGCGACAAAGTAGATAGTGTGGATACATTCGATATTGAGTGTTACAGGATCATCACAAGTAAGGAAATCAGAGCCCTGATCAAATGCTAATAATCGATACTTCCGATTCTACCACTCATTTACTTTGGGTGCTACAAGTTCCAAAATTGAGAACTATTGTAATGTCTGTAACAACCATTTTGAGAAGGAATGATTTGAGGTGACAAAACACGGGAAAAAGATGCTTAGAATCAATCCACTGGAATTTTTAGGGTAAGTGTAGATTTAATATTGATATGATGAATGAATGTGGAAGAACAGGTTGGGTTCTCCTTCGGGCCAGCAGGAAGAAGTTTCTCACAGTCATTGAGCAATGAGCATATGTAATCTCCCAATGTGAATATCAATTTGTTTGGTTTATGGATATTAGTTTTGTATGATTTCACATATGTATTAGCTTCTCACTTAATTATTGAGTACTATGATAGACTATGATGATACATTATACCTATTATATGAAAATTATTTTTAGAAACCTACTGATGCCTGGGTGACTCCATCATCATGTAAGCAGATGTGTGTGATGAATTCTTCACTCAACTAATGAAATTTGGTCATCTCAAGATAAGATCCCAGATAACACAGGATATCCTATGGATATCCTTCTCAAGTCCATTTCAGGTCGGGATATCCTGGGACATGAAATGGATATCCATAGGATATCCGCCAGAGGATATCAAATGAATATTCTGATGCGGATCACCTATGGACGTCCATAAGATGTTCGTTTAGCGAACAAAAATTGTTAATTGAGAATGGTTCAAAACAATACGAATCATCACAAATATCACATGCAAATCACATGTTTATTAGAAATTCAAAGGTAGTTTTCCATCATATAACTATT